ATTTAGAAACTATTTAGCATGGGTGTTTTTTAGCGGTTGTAGATGTGTGACAGATTTTGGGGGTCAAATCATATTTTATAAATTTTTTGATAGTAAATTATATGATATGATGAACATAATGGTATATTTCAAAAGACCATTTAATGCAAGAAAAACTGTATATGATATGTGTGGGTACAATAAATGAGTAAGAGGAAGATTACAGCTAAACACAAACACTGCAGAAATGTAAAAACAGCCCTGGTCCTTAACGGTAAGAAAATTGAAAAACTGTCTGGTCACTAAGGGGCTAAGCCATGTTGTACTAGTCACACCTCCCTGCATGCAACTTGCACAGCCTTCCATAAACACTTCCTGCAAAGAGAGCCCTATTTAGGCTTTATTTATTGCAAGTTCTGTTTGATTAAGATTTTCTTATCCCCTGCTATGTTAATAGCTTGCTATACCCTGCAAGAGCCTCCTGTATGTGATTAAAGTTCTATTTAGAGATTGAGATACAATTATTTAAGGTAAATTACATCTGTTTGAAAGTGAAACTAGTTTTTTTTTTTCATCCAGGCTCTGTCAATCATAGCCAGGGGAAGTGTGGCTAGGGCTGCATAAACAGAAACAAAGTGATTTAACTCCTAAAGGACAGTGAATTGAGCAGTGAAATTGCAGGGGAATGATCTATACACTAAAACTGCTTTATTTAGCTAAAGTAATTTAGGTGACTATAGTGTTCCTTTAAGCTGGTAAATTTGCTTTAAAAAAAAAATGTAATATTAAACAAATATGCTTTACATTGTATTAATGGATGTATATTGTAGCAAAGTGTTGGGTTTGTATCCTCAGCTCAAATAACAAACATTCTATAAAGACTTTATAATTCATACCCAATCCTTTTTAACAGCATAACTTTCTCAGTTGGGCACTTGTAAAGATGTTCATAGCTTCAAAAAGCAATATCATTATTTTAGATATTACTGAAAAAGTATACATACAGGCCCATTTACTAAAGTGAGACTATTTGAAAATTCTAAGTGAATTAAAATTTTTAGACCAAAATAGTTGATCTTGTACTGAAAGCATAGCTGGCCTGGTGAATATTTCCAATTCATAATTATTTGTCTTGAATATTAAAAAAATCTCAAATTAGTAAATAACCCAGACCATGTATAATTTGTTCATAACCTATAACATTACTGTCATGCAGGTAACACCATTTTGTCTTTCCCTTCCAGCTTTTCCACATTGACTTTGGACACATTCTGGGGAACTTCAAGTCCAAATTTAAAATTAAGAGGGAGCGAGGTCCTTTCATTTTAACTTATGACTTCATCCATGTTATCCAACAGGGGAAAACCGGAAACACAGAGAAATTTGGCAGGTGGGTTCTCTACTACCAAAACTCACCCAATTTCATTATCTGGCTTCATTTAATAAATTCACATTTCCAAACTTTAATTACTTACATGTCTCAGACATCCTTCACTTACATAAAAAATGTGAAATACACTAAATCCTTTTATCATTAGGCTTTTCTCAGTCTATTATCAGTGGTTCTCAGCCCAGTTATCATAATTACGCAACCTTTAATTCACACGTTCAAGCAGATAATTTCAGAAAGTCTAGAGTTGAATGCTGAATTAGAAAACACATTTATATATGTATATATTATACATTGCACACTTCACTGAACTTTGGCGAAGGAGTGGACCAGACCTGCCAAATAGGTACAGCTAAGTGGTTGCAGGCAGAGATAGAATTAATGGCCACCCCTAATCACAACACTATGGAAAAAAATCTAATAAAGATTGTCCAAAAATAAGAATTAGTGACCAACACTTTTTTCAATAGCCTTGCTTATCATTACAAGACCATTACAACTTTTCTTGATGTATCTGTTACCCTTCCTCTGTGAGGTTTCTGAAGATATCATCTTCAAATCTTTAAATTGTCTTTCTCTCCATAACACATAATTAATTAGCACTTTTATTTTTTTTTTAAATCACGTTTGTGTTTGATATGCTGGGACAGTATGCGTGCTGTTCTTTTTCTGATGTTTGTGTCTTTGGTTATAAAGGTTCCGACAGTATTGTGAGGATGCATATCTGATACTTCGCAGGAATGGGAATCTCATTATCACTCTCTTTGCACTGATGCTGACAGCTGGACTCCCCGAACTGAGTTCAGTTAAGGACATCCAGTATGTCAAGGTAATGTGCCAGCAAGCTATATTCTACTCATTGTGCAGTTTGCTACTCCCGTCATCCTATATCATACAACACCAGATCAGTCTTGGGTGAACGCTGGTGTTAATGTTTTACACTCTGGTTGATGCACTTCCTCTGTTGTGACAAATTATATTAGGAAATGCCATGAAAATACCACAATGTTAATTGGGAGGCAAAGTGTCAACTTGAAGAAAGTGTTTCAAAGTATTAATTATATTTGTATATTACTTGCTTAAAATAGTAAAAGCTCAAATATTACCTATATTCTGTAAATCATTAGTCAAACTGGAAGATTTCTTTTTAATTTTCGATGTATGAAAGCATTCTTTCTTTGTCCCCTTCAGGATTCTCTCGCTCTCGGTAAGACTGATGATGAAGCACTTAAACAATTCAGACAGAAGTTTGACGAGGCTTTGAAAGAGAGCTGGACAACCAAAGTTAACTGGATGGCACACACTGTGAGAAAGGATTACAACAAGTCCTAAGGTCATCCTTCAGCCCTAGGTGTTATCACAAATTACTGGCACTTTGATAGCAGTTCAGACACTTGATGACTTGACAGAACACATGCCACCATAAATACGGAGTCTGCAAGTGTGGGACAGGTATAGCTGGGTCCCCTGTGTGAGCTACTTCACTGATGTCCAAGAGCAAGGAAACCTGTAAGAGACTTTCTGTTAAGAAAGGCCCAGGCACAACAGATTTGCACAATACAAGGACACTGCTGCCATCCATAGACTCAAACTTTCTGTGATGGCTTTACATTCGTCCTAGCGCACAGAGACCAGAAAAAGGGATGTGTCAGTGGCCAGGCTACAACTGAGAACCGAAAACCTGGAAAAAATAAACTCTCGTTGCCCTTGGAAATGCTTTGGTTTTGCACACGTTCTCGAATATCTCACCTGAGCCTTTCATTTAATGTGTTTTTTTTTTTGTGTGTGTGTGTGTGTGTACGTGTGTGTGTGTGAATGGAGCCATACTGAATTACTCAGAGCTTCCAAGTAATGAGAGTTATGTGTCTTAACTATAATATACTCCCCAAGTTCCCAAGGTAATATTTTCCATTGCCAGGACTTGATCCTTGATATTATGGAAGTCTGGAGTGTAAGAATTGTGAGGTGCTTCTCTGCACACTCCTAGGTGGCAAGGATAAACCTCTTACAGAGAGAGAGGCCACATTAACCAAGCAGTATGATGCATTGCTGTAATTGCTTACTTCTTGTAGGGAGGCCTGGACCTTGTTACTCATCTCAGCTGCCTTAAGAAGTTAAATTCAATTTACTTTATGAGAATTTTGGGAAGAATGAAATAATCCACGAACGTTTGTGATCATGTGCAATGTAGCAGTGGAGTTCCTGTTGAGTTGCCAATCAGTGGATGTGTACAACTGTCGATTTCTGTGGAGTCATTTGTGACCAATTTCAAAAAAAGAACTACAGGATACGTGGAAGAAAATATGATAGAAATAAAGAAAGTGCTATTTATTCCCCAACTCCCTTTTTTTTAAACAAAAAATGTAAAAAAAAAATATATATATATGAATGTGAGAAGACTATTTTTATCATGATTTTTCCAGTCTCACCACATTTTTTTTTGTATTTATTAAGACTTTGGAATGTGAGTGTTTTCTGGGACATTTCTTTGAAAGACCTTTCTTCCTGTTTAAATATGATGGGACTTGCAGCAGATGCTGAAAGACTGTTCTCTATCTGTATCTTACAGGTATTGCATTTTAACTACTGGTTCGTCTTCTGATGCACACTTTATGTCTTACACTGGATTTATACAAATCTGTACAAAGCACAGAGGACTAAACAGCTCCTCTAATGAGAATGTAATAGAAATGATTTTACACTGTATAGAGACAAACGCCATTCCAAATTGGACTCAATAAATCTAAACAACATTCTTACTGTGTCTAAGATATTTTTTTTTATTTTTTTTTTAATATAAGAGTGCATGGGGAAGTTAGGAAAGTGTGAACCAGCTTTTTTGTTACTATAGTATTTCCTATCTGTTTACATAATAGTCTAAACCGCATCTGTACAGAAAAATATATAATACCATGTAACCTTTTACAAGCTATAAAGTAAAGATTTTGTTTTAATTAAAATCTATTTCTTTATTAAAAGTTTTAAACCTTTTTTAGTATGTATACCAGATGAGAGGGCTCATTAGGCCTATCCTTTACTTCCTTTGAAGTTCACACTGTCCGCATAGTTAAGCCCACTCCTTTAAGAACTGCCATGATCTATTGCCCCCGTGGTCATCCTAGGCTATTCATTTAACACTTTTCTTCCTGGCTACCCCACTTTCTCTCCTCTAGCACTCCTTCCCTCATACTTGGGGACTTTAACATCCCAATCAACAACCTCAACTGTCCTGATGCCTCCCGTCTGCTCTCTGTAACCTCCTCCTTTGGCCTCACACAGTGGTCTACTTCAGAAACTCATACAGCAGGAACACTCTTGACCTCATCTTCACCAATCTCTGTACCACCTCTATTTCATACTTTTAATGCTCTCCTTTGCCCTATTTTTTCCCTCTCCTCTTACCACCCTGTCCACCTCAAACTTTGCAACTCAATTTCTACAATCAGTGAAGAGATCTCTAACCTCTCTCCCTTCCCTTCCAATACATCACCCAACCCCGCTCCCTACGCTGTTCTATGCTCATTCGCACCTACTACAACGGAAAAGGTTTCTTCTCTGCTCTGGTCCTCCCGCCCCACCACCTATTCCCTCATATCTCATCCACACTTTGTCTCCCTCTCTTGCTCTTCCTCTCACTAAAATTTTCAATTTCTCCCTTTCCTCTGGCACATTTGCTTCACCCTTCAAGCATGCAACTATAACGCCGATTCTGAAAAAGCCCAACCTTGACCCTAATTCCCTATCCAACTACCGCCCTATATTGCTACTGCCATTTGCCTCCAAGATCCTTGAGAGAGTTGTGTATGCAAGATTGACGGACTTTATTGAATCCAACTCTCTGCTTGACCCGCTTCAGTCTGAATTCCGCGCTCGTCGCTCTGTTGAAGCAGCTGTGACCAAAGTATCCAACAATTTAATCGCTGCTAAATCTCGGTCATTACTCTATCCTAATTCTCCTTGATCTTTCAACTGCCTTTGACACTGTTGCTCATCAACAGCTTCTTCCCATTCTCTGTAATCTCGGTCTACGGGATACTGCTCTCTCTTCGTGCTCCTCCTACCTCTCCCAGCGCTTTTTCAGTGTTTCTTTCTCTGCCTCTTCTCCCCAACCCCTCTGTGTTGGCGTTCCCCAAGGTTCTGTCCTTGGTCCCCTACTGTTCTCTGTCTATACTGCCTCCCTTTGTAAACTCATCAGCTCCTTTGGCTTGCATTATCATTTATTTGCAGATGACACACAAATCTACCTGTCCTCTCCTGATCCCTCTCCACCCATCTTGACTCGTGTCTCTGACTGCCTCTCCACAATTTCTAACTGGATGGCTGCTTTGTGACCAATTACTCAACCTGTCCAATACAGAACTTCTGGTCTTTCCTCCCTCAAGTGTTGCCACTCCTGTGTCTGTCTCCCTCCAAGTCAATGGCGCCTCCATCACCTCTACCTCGCAGGCTGGCTTCCTAGGTGCTCTCTTTGACTCCAACCTATCCTTCACCCCTCACGTCCAGTCGATCACCAAATCCTGCCGTTTCTATCTCAAAAACATAGCTCGCATCAGTCCCTGTTTAACACCAGATGCAGCTATGGTGCTGGTCGATACCGTTGTTCTTTCTCGCCCCTTCTCAGTGGTCTTACGTGTTCCCAGATTGCACCGCTGCAATGTATAATGAATGCAGGGGCAAGGCTCATTTTTTTGTCCTTACCTCCCACGCCTTCCCCCTCTTTCAGTCCCTACATTGGCTTCCAGTTAGATTCTGGTGCTTGCTTACATAATACTGCTCCAACCTACCTCTCCTCCCTAATACACAAGTATGTCCCGTTGAGGCCTTTCACCCAGTCTCCACTCCTTCAAAAAAATATTTGAAAACACACTTCTTCAGTTAGTGGGTTTTCACTCCCCCTCCTCCCATGACTTCTCTCCTGCAACTGTCAAAAATAACCTAAGTTCCCAGTGAATAGTTTTCTAGCAACCTATTTAATTACCCCTACTTATACCCTTTGTGTCACTATACCCCACTCCCTCTAGCATGTAAGCTCATTGAGCAGGGCCCTCAACCCCTCTGTTCCTGTGCGTCCATTTGTCTGGTTACAATTACGTGTCTGTTAGTCCCATTGTACAGCGCTATGGAATTTGCTGTCGCTATATAAATAATAAAATAATAATAATTAGGTTAATGCACCAACAGAGGCACATGTTAAAACATTATGGCCATAGTTTGAATGTCAATTCACTTGGAAATGAGGGGCCAATTTAATCATAATAAAATATTTATTTATTTTTTGGCAAATGGTGGGCTTGTTTCTAAGTTTGTTGGTAAAAAGGAGCAACTAGGCATTGCTAATACCAACAGCACATAGATTATTGTGGATAAAAATATAATTATTTTATGTCCATTCCTGTTTTCAGTCCGCATGATAATCACTTCACCCTCTGCTGGTACCACCCACTAGTTAATTTTTAACATTTTGCAAATTTGACAAAAATATAATTTTTTTTCTTCAAATAATTGCTATTGCAACTCCCATAGAAATGTACACTGCTCAAAAAAATAAAGGGAACACATCCTAGATCTGAATGAATTAAATATTCTTCTGAAATACTTAGTTCTTTGCATAGTTGAATGTGCTGACAACAAAATCACACAAAAATTTAAAAATGGAAATCAAATTTTTCAACCCATGGAGGTCTGGATTTGGAGTCACACTCAAAAATTAAAGTGGAAAAACACACTACAGGCTGATCTGACTTTGATGTAATGTCCTTAAAACAAGTCAAAATGAGGCTCAGTAGTGTGTGTGGCCTCCACGTGCCTGTATGACCCCCCTACAACTTGATGAGGTGGCGGATGGTCTCCTGAGGGATCTCCTCCTAGACCTGGAATAAAGCATCTGCAAACTCCTGGACAGTCTGTGGTGCAACGTGACGGTGGATGGAGCGAGACGTGATGTCCCAGATGTGCTCAATTGGATCAGGTCTGGGTAATGGGCAGGCCAGTCCATAGCATCAATGCCATCGTCTTGCAGGAACTGCTGACACACCCCAGCCACATGAGGTCTAGCATTGTCTTGCATCAGGAGGAACCCAGGGCCAACCGCACCAGCATATGGTCTCACAAGGGGTCTGAGGATCTCATCTCGGTACCTAATGGCAGTCAGGCTACCTCTGGCGAGCACATGGAGGGCTGTGCAACCCCCCCAAAGAAATGCCACCCCACACCATTACTGACCCACTGCCAAACCGGACATGCTGGAGGATGTTGCAGGCAGCAGAACATTCTCCACGGCGTCTCCAGACTGTCACATGTGTTCAGTGTGAACCTGCTTTCATCTGTGAAGAGCACAGGGTGCCAGTGGCGAATTTGCCAAACGTCCTGCATGGTGTTGGGTTGTAAGTACAACCCCCCCTGTGGACATCGGGCCCTCCTACCACCCTCATGAATTCTGTTTCTGACCGTTTGAGCAGACACATGCACATTTGTGGCCTGCTTGAGGTCATTTTGCAGGGCTCTGGCAGTGCTCCTCCTGTTCCTCCTTGCACAAAGGCTGAGGTAGCGGTCCTGCTGCTGGGTTGTTGCTCTCCTACGGCCTGATGTACTGGCCTGTCTCCTGGTAGCGCCTCCATGCTCTGGACACTACGCTGACAGACACAGCTCGGATTGATGTGCCATCCTGGATGAGCTGCACTACCTGAGCCACTTGTGTGGGTTGTAGATTCCGTCTCATGCTACCACTAGAGTGAAAGCACTGCCAGCATTCAAAAGTGACCAAAACATCAGCCAGGAAGCATAGGAACTGAGAAGTGATTTGTGGTCACCACCTGCAGAACCACTCCTTTATTGGTGGTGTCTTGCTAATTGCCTATAATTTCCACTTGTTGTCTATCCCATTTGCACAACAGCATGTGAAATTGATTGTCACTCGGTGTTGCTTCCTAAATGGACAGTTTGATTTCACAGAAGTGTGATTGACTTGGAATTACATTGTGTTGTTTAAGTGTTCCCTTTATTTTTTTGAGCAGTGTATTTAAAAATGTGTACACTTCACCAATTTCAGCTGATCAGCTGAACAACTCGCCCTTGAAGGACATCCTACTCTTTAAAAGTTAATTTCATTTAATGAAACAATGCGTCATGAGTGGTATGGAGGGAGCGAGGCCATGTCCACATTAGCTGTCTGATGCCAGCATGCAACGTTTGCACAGAACTTTGCTCTGAGCTGCCAACAGATTCTGCTAGAGCTAGATGTACACCTTTGGCAGCTAATGGGTTAATCTCGGCAGCATTTCAAAGTGAAATACTGTACCTATAGACTCCAGAAAACATGACAATTCAATGAAGTGATCATGGTGCATGGAGTATCTCTTTAAGTGTCAACTCATGGCACGACAACTACTGGTACAACTCACATGAATATTGAGACTAGGATGGTTAGATTAATTTACACTGCTTCTGTCATAACTCCCAATTCACTTCCCAGTCATTGACCCCCACAGGGGTTATTATCCCTACATACACTGTCATATGTTTACCAGCTTACCTACCAGTCACTAACCCAAGCATTTTCTGTTGCATACCTCCCTTTCATTAACACAAGGTCACGCATTTAGACTGGAAGAAAGGTGATTTAGTCTAAGGCAAAGGAAAGGAATTTTTACAAGAACAATAAAGATGTGGAATTCTCTGCCCAAAGAAGTGGTTTTATCAGAATTCGTGCAGATGTATAAACAGCAACTGGATGAATAATTGCAAAAACATAATATTCAGGGATATAATTTTTAATTTGTGGGCTAATAGCCATTCTGGGGTCAATAAGGAATTTATTCCTGGTTTGTTGTAAAATTGGAAGTGCTTCAAACACAACAGCAAAAACAGATATGAGACTGAACTTGATGGGCGCATGTCTCTTTTCAGCCAATGTAACTATGTAACACCCACATACCTGCTACTTATCTCCCTGTCATTACCGCTGCGCCCACCAGTACATATAACCCAATTCCCTTACTTTTCATTAATATGCACACACCCCATTGCCTACTCCCACTTTAATTCCCAATTTACACCCAGCCACATAAATCCAGGATATATCATTTGCCTGCCTCAGCTCTTAGTCCTGCTCGCTCACTTGGCCTGTCACATTCACACATTCTGTCACATAACAATCAACATACAATCCAAAAACATGCGATTCCTCATGTTTCCAACTATTACCCTTAGACTGGTTGAGTATAATGCACATTTTGGGTAGCAAACATCCGCACTGCCATGGCTAGCCACTGTTTGTGCACTGGATTTGTGTGGCCTTTGCTGTTATAGCATAATCGACAATACGATCCACCAACCTCTAAAGTGCTATGTTTAAGAGTCATTATAAGTAACTGTCTGTGCATTTACCTTGATGCTCTTTCAGCCATTATGGAGTAGGCATATAAAGGGTGTGTGCAAAGGGGATGGATTCTGTTAGCCGTACAAGTAATCTATTATTAGTATTTAATTTTTTATTTTATTTTTAAGTGCATTATTTATTTATTTTAATCAAATTTTACCCCAAAAAAACTGGTACTCGTCATGATGATGGGCTTTCTTTCTGTTATCTTACCATTTCTGGTTTTGCAACACGTGTGTTGCCTTATGCTATGATGCACATATTTTCAATATACATGAATTACAATTTTTAAAAAACTCAAAATACAATACAGACATTAACTGACTGTTGGATTGTGTAAACTAGCAATCTTTCATTTTAAAGATTATTTTAATTTACAGGTAAATGTCATTTATTGGTAAGTTTTTCTGCAGTGTTATAATTGTGTAACTTTAGGTTTGGTCTCTGTAAGGAAGGATTAATTAAACAGCTATGATGTAACTTTTATCAACTCTGAAATAGTCATTTCCATTTGTATTTTCAAGTTATGTCTGAGCACTCTCAAACATCATAATGATCTAATAAACTATGAGCCACAAACAGGGAGTGGGCATGTAGAGTGTCACATTTTCGACAGCTAACTATCTCACATTTAGGGCACATTGTTCTAGGGTGCTCCATCCGGCCACAACATGATTCTTCATGGGTCGTCTTGGGTTCCTTTGGTCCAATTCGCCTCGGAGGTTTGGTTTTCTCCTCTGGTATCTGCTTCTTCAGGCTGCGGACAAAATGCCATGTTTGAAAAGAGTTCACATCCCACCATTAAATCTGAACAGGCAATGATAAAATATATTGTAATTATTATTGTTGTTGCAGCTGTGGCAAAATACCAGGAAACCCATGTTTGAATCCCAGTTAGACCACCGTAGCAATAAGTATCCTTGGGCAAGGCACCTAAGAATATATATCCACCTACCTCAAATCCTTATAGCCTGCAAGCTCATTTAAGCATGCACATCTTCACCTTCAAATGTCCCTATCTAGAATTATAAAGTGCTCGGAATGCGTTGGTGCTATATAACTGCATAAAATAACATGGATAGGAAGAAGGATGTTCTTCCTGCTCACATAGTATACGTAAAGTATATATAGGTGCTACTTTTAGGTGTGATTTATAGGCCCCCAGGACACATTGAAGAGTTAGATAATCTACTAGTTGAGGAAATAGCTAAAATGACAATGAAGGGGGAAGTTATCATCATGGGTGACTTTAATCTTCCTGATGTAAATTGGAAAACAAAATTAGCTACTTGTGCCAGGAGCACACATATTCTAAACTCCCTATTGGGATTGTCTCTAAAACAAGTTGTTGAGGAGCCAACTCGTAAAAAGGCCATACTAGATTTAGTGTTAACAAATGGAGATTTGGTATCAGATATTACTGTAGGTGAAAGTTTAGGATCCAGTGATCATCAGTCAGTGTGGTTTAATATAAGAACAGTGACTGAGTCACACCACACAAAAACAAAAGTTTTAGACTTTAGAAAAACAGACTTTTCTAAAATTAGAATATGGGTAGAGGAGTCATTATCAGACTGGAGCAATTTAAATGGAGTCCAAGAGAAATGGGATTATTTAAAATGTGCACTATTGAAGGCAACAGAAAATTGCATTAGGCTTGTCAGTAAAAGCAAAATATTCAAGAAACCACTGTGGTACTCCGCAGATGTGGCCAAAATAGTTAAAAACAAAAAGTTAGCATTTAGGAATTATAAAAAAACCCAGAGTGAGGAAGACAAAATGATCTATAAGATTAGGCGGAAAGAGGCTAAGCAAATTATAAGTAAGAGCTTCCAAATCTCACACAGAAGAGAAAATAGCACAGTCAGTAAAAAAGGGGGATAAAACATTTTTTAGATACATAAATCAGAAAAGAAAAGTAAAACAAGGATTAGTTAGATTAAAAACAAAAGAAGGAAGGTATGTAGAAGAGGACAAAGGTCTAGCTGACTGCCTCAATGAATATTTTTGTTCTGTATTTACAGATGAAAATGAAGGAAAGGCACCTCAGTTAAGAAAAAGGATAAATGAGTCATTTATTACACGTGAGTTTACAGAGGAAGAGGTTCTATTTCAACTGTCAAAAGTAAAGACAAGTCAATGGGACCTGATGGAATACACCCAAAGCTATTAAAAGAGCTTAGTGGTGTACTAGCAAAACCATTAACAGATTTATTTAACCAATCATTGTTAACAGGAGTAGTCCCAGAAGATTGGAAGTTAGCGAATGTTGTGCCCATTTACAAGAAAGGTAATAGGGAGGAGTCAGGGCAACTATAGGCCAGTAAGCCTTACTTCAGTAGTGGGGAAAGTGATGGAAACCATGTTAAAGGATAGGATTGTTGAACATCTAAAAACACATGGATTTCAAGATCAGAGACAACATGGGTTTACTTCAGGGAGATCATGCCAAACTAATCTTATTGATTTTTTTGATTGGGTAACTAAAATTATAGATCAGGGTGGTGCAGTAGACATTGCTTACCTAGATTTCAGTAAGGCTTTTGACACTGTTGCACATAGAAGGCTTATCAATAAACTGCAATCTTTAAGTTTGGATTCCAATATTGTTGAATGGGTAAGGCAGTGGCTGAGTGACATGCAACAGAGGGTTGTAGTTAATGGAATATATTCGAAGCTTGGACTTGTCACCAGTGGGGTACCTCAGGGATCTGTACTTGGACCCATTCTCTTTAATATTTTTATTAGTGATATTGCAGAAGGTCTTGATGGTAAGGTATGTCTTTTTGCTGATGATACTAAGATATGTAACAGGGTTGATGTTCCAGGAGGGATAAGCCAAATGACAAATGATTTATGTAAACTAGAAAAATGGTCAGAATTGTGGCAACTGACATTTAATGTGGATAAGTGCAAGATAATGCATCTTGGACGTAAAAACCCAAGGGCAGAGTACAGAATATTTGATAGAGTCCTAACCTCAACATATGAGGAAAGGGATTTAGGGGTGATTATTTCTGATGACTTAAAGGTAGGCAGACAATGTAATAGAGCAGCAGGAAATGCTAGCAGAATGCTTGGTTGTATAGGGAGAGGTATTAGCAGTAGAAAGAGGGAAGTGCTCATGCCATTGTACAGAACACTGGTGAGACCTCACTTGGAGTATTGTACGCAGTACTGGAGACCGTATCTTCAGAAGGATATTGATACCTTAGAGAGGGTTCAGAGAAGGGCTACTAAACTGGTTCATGGATTGCGGGATAAAACTTACCAGGAAAGGTTAAAGGATCTTAACATGTATAGCTTGGAGGAAAGACGAGACAGGGGGGATATGATAGAAACATTTAAATATATAAAGGGAATCAACACAGTAAAGGAGGAGACTATATTTAAAAGAAGAAAAACTACCACAACAAGAGGACATAGTCTTAAATTAGAGGGACAAAGGTTTAAAAATAATATCAGGAAGTATTACTTTACTGAGAGGGTAGTGGATGCATGGAATAGCCTTCCAGCTGAAGTGGTAGAGGTTAACACAGTAAAGGAGTTTAAGCATGCGTGGGATAGGCATAAGGCTATCCTAACTATAAGATAAGGCTAGGGACTAATGAAAGTATTTCGAAAATTGGGCAGACTAGATGGGCCGAATGGTTCTTATCTGCCGTCACATTCTATGTTTCTATGTTTTCAAACAGGGATGTGTTTTTCTTTGATTACAAACCATTTGCCACATTATAATCCGCAACTAGTGTATGATATAATGAGCAAGACCTTCCTCCAACAATTTGGCTAAATCATTATTAGACTTAGTTTGTATTTCAGAGCACCTCCTATAAGGTAAGTACTGCATTCACCTAACACCTGGTGGACTCAAGTAGCAGTGCTTGGTTTAAAGGAATAACAACAGGCTTGTTACAAAATAAAATAGTATCAAAGACATTCCCTTAATACAGGAACGTACTTACTGAAAGACTGCAGTTAACATTACCAGTAGTTTTATTATATTTCTTACTTTCCTGATGTATTTTTTACTTTATTTACTATTGTGCATCTTTATTATAAAGCATTGATGACTTTGGGGAGGAATTGGCTATCTAAAGGGGTCAGCTAAATGTTAAATGCTGGTCTTCTCCAAAAATTGAATTCCTTTTTTCCCACACATTAAATTTTATTTTAGGGACTCCGGTACCGGAACCAACAAAAAATATTTCAGAATAAGGGAGGTCAGACATAGAAGTAACATAGTGTTGCAGTTCGTCTTGCAAAATCTATCCCAAATTGAGCATGCAAACACATTGGTAATTAAATAGGCCAATAGCTGTAAAATATAGCCATACCGGTGTCTAGATTGACTCCAATCCACCACTCAAAATAAATTAAGACTACTTCCACCAGGATTTCTATACTTCTGTATGTGGAATCCAGATTTTGTTTAATTTTCTAGCCTTCTGTTACTCATGTGTCATTCTAGTAACCACACAGATATCTGAGGGTCACACCATAATGGGGCCACCAGAACAGACATTTGGACACAAATCTAGTGGAGGGCTACGAGCACATTATTGTAATAGTGAACATGGTTATTTTACGCCCCAAGTAAGAAATGGCTCTTACAGAAAGCCAAAATTTGCTTTACCACGTCAAGGGTTCAGGGTACTGCACACTGGTTGGGTATAATTAATGGTCCCTCCATGGTAGGTGCAGATCTGCAGTAGGTAAATTCTAATGCTTAAAGGTTATTACTTTTGTGTTTTTAATGATCCACAGAGCAGGGCAAGGGATGATATCTTCTTCCTGATGATCCTCTGTTTTTTATTTCGAGTTCCTTTCTCTCCCGTGAATGCTGCCTCTTTGTCCTTCTCTAACGATTTCTTATGCCAGCTCATATCCAGGCTCAGCGACACTCAGACAAGGCGTAACTTCTGCAATATGAAAACAAAACCACATTAAAAAAATTCAACAAAACATCAAATGTATCTAGACACAGAGTGCACGTGCTCTATCAAGGGGTACTTTCATTTTCTACAATTCTTCGTCAGACTGATATTTAAGGACTTTGTGATACAGAAGCTATAGAGATAAGGCTGGGTACTTACCCATACACTATAAATGAAAAAGATATTACAGAAAAGAACATCTCTCCAACTTCTATCAACTGCATTTATGAACTATGACCTTTTTATATATACACACACACAAAATAAATTGACAAAGAAGTTGCCATACCTTTTATACTGTCATATAATAATACTGTTAGCAGTATGCATTTGTTGAATGAGGCTATAGAGTGTAACAACACTTGGCACATTATTTAAAGGAACATTTATTTATATATATATATCTATCTTAATATAAGCTTTTTCAGATTCAGATCACCTAGTTGTCAGTAATGTGACCCAATACTTACTTTTTTGCAACAGTTTGCTTTGCAAATCACCTGGCAAAGGTGAGATTAATATGAAGATTGTACTAAGATAATAAAAAAAAACTATAAATAAGCCTAGCTTGAAAAGGCAATGGGGAGTACTGAAATCTTGCTTCTCAGTTGACCAAAATAAAAAAAAACACAGATTTAATGACTGCGTAATTATTTGTTTATTTTACATGAATGGTCTAAAAAAATTCCCTCTTTTTAAATGTGACAATAGTGCCTGCCACTATTAAATTTATTGTTAAACATGAAGCTGTTATTACTATCACCTCCTCTCAGCTGAATGGCTAGCCGCATGTATAACTATCAACCCTCCACTGTCAAAGTGGATAACCAAACCCTGCAACTTCCCTTAGATGTAGCAAATGCCTTTAACAATTATTTTGTCAGATGCTCTACTGCCCTGATTGCCAAGCAAATAAATGACACGCATCCTGAAACTACAAATGTGGATCAGGCCCCACTAAATTTGCAAAGGCCCAATACAGACAAGTTAGTTTTTAGACCTGTACCTATTAGTGTCATTAAGAAACATATTAATAATCTAAAAATTAAAAACCAGTCCGGACCTGATCAAATCCCAGCAATGCTGTTGAAGCTCAGTGCGCCGGCAATGGCTAAACCTGTCACAACTCTAATTAACGAATCCTTGGTGTCTGGATACATACCCAAACTTTGGAAGACTGTAATAGTAGTGCCTACCCATAAAAGTGGTGACACTTCTTTGGTTTCTAACTATCACACAATATCATTGCTGTGAGTATTGTCAAAAATCTTTGAAAAATGCATGCATATGCAACTATGTGAGTACTACCAACAATCAAACTAACTGACCGCTGATCAATCGGGTTTTCGTCCGAATCACTCCACTACAACTGCCCTCTTAAAAGTTTGCAAAGACATCCAAACTGGCATGGAACAAGGAGACCTAACTGTAGCTATTTTCCTTGATTTTGCAAAGGCCACGACATTCTTCTGCACACACTCAAAAACTCCAGTTTTGTTGATTGTCTGCTAACCTGGTTTTGATCATATGTATCGGATCGCTCACAATATGTGTCCATTTCTGACAGCGACTCCCTCTCCCAGTCACATGTGGTGTTCCCTAAGATTCCATTCACGGCCCCCTACTATTCACATTATGAATAAATGATCTGCCTAATGTCTGCAAATCCTCAAATGTACACATGTACGCAGATGACACAGTAATCTATGCGAGCAAATCCAATCTACTGCAGCTTGAGGCTGTGCTCCAAGACCAATTTACAGAGGTAGAAAAGTGGATCGCAAAAAACAAACTCTTCCTGAACACTGACAAAACTGTCACAATGATCTTTGGAACGGTACCTAAATAACACAAATACCACCTATTCATCAAAACAAATTCAAATGGCACACTGACCGCAGTCCACTCTTTCAAATACTTGGGTATGATGTTAGACCCCAATCTATCTTTTGGCCTGCACATAGAAAAGCTTGCATCTAAACTTTATCCAAAACTAGGTGCCCTGTACAGAAACAAATCCTGCCTAAGCCCTACAGTAAAGGAAAAGATTATACAGCAAATGCTGATGCCAGTCATTGATTATGGGGATGTAGTATATGAACCTGCACAGCAATCCCACATTAATAAACTCAACACATTGTATAACTCGTTCTGCCGATTTGTGCTACAATGTAATTACAGGACCCACCATTGTGACATGCTAAAAGAACTAAACTGGCTGTCACTGGAATCCAGACGCACCCTTCATCTTTCCAGGCTTGTGTTTAAGAGCTTTTCTGGGAAGCTCCCACCCTACCTGAGCAGAATGCTGTCCCTGGCTGTTCCCACTTCTTATAACCTCCGATCCAGTACCAGCACTTTATTTAGCCTACCTCAGTACATAAAGAAAGCGACCCGATCCTCCTTCTCCTACAGAGCACCGCAATTATAGAACGACCTCCCACACAATTTCAAATCTTCCCTAAGCCTAAAGTCCTTTAAGTGATTCCTCTCTACATACCTCAAAACATGTGGCGCTTGTCATGGTTAATTATATATTTCTTATCTGTTCTATGTTAAATTTTTTATTTATTGTGTTTTAATATTGTTTTTGTATTTTATTGTACCATAATGTATCAATGCAATGTTTTGTGGACCCAGGACATCTCAATGTATCTTTCCTGGTAAAATATTTTATAAATAAATAACCTACCTTGGTTTGCCAACAAGCAGGTCACTCCAGCTCATTTCAAAACATGTTTTTCATAATGCATTTGTCTGGGGATCAGTTAAAAAGAATCTTGAGAAATACCTGTTGGCATCTATTGTCTTGTATCATCGTAGCCATGGTAATTATGGATAGGCACAAAGTGAGCAAAAGTTCCAAACCTTTTAATGTTCCACTGCTGTAGTCGTTCACGTTCTGCAAAGTGGTCCAATTCTCTTCTAAGATCAACCTGCAAGTTCCTCTGTGATAACGCTTTATAAAGACAAAGACAGGGATTTCTCATGGTTTTATTTAATACTCTGGCACACGCATCTTTTCTCCTCTGATCCATCTTCATTTCCTTATTGGGATGTTTCTTTTCAGATATAATTGTCTCCATGGCCTTTTTAATCAAATTACCCACCAGATTCGAAATGTGTAATTTAGTAATTGTATTTGGCCCTGATAAGATTGTCCTCCATCATAGGCTTCAGTTCACTTCCTACGTGGGCCCACATTCTGTGGGATGCAATTTATTGAATCTAACACAATTTCCTTTAGTGTTTTGTTTTCCAAACAAACAAAACATTGTTTCCATGATTACCACAAACCATGTGGGCATTTTATCTGTTTAGAAGGAAGCAGGCACAGTCGCTCTAGGAGTGTGTGCTCTTAAACTCACACGCTACACACACACACACAACAATAAAGATATTGTGTGTGTCCTTTAACATCCTTTCAACAGAACATTAGAAAATTAAAGAGACATTTAGGAGACATCACTTCAGAATAGTTAGATCTACACAAAAGTGATGTCAATGGCAATGATTCACTAAACATTAAATTGTCAAACCAAATCCAATTTAATTTTACTGCACCGTATTCAATTAAGCCACAATCCACTGTACTCACAGCTAAATAAAAAGGATTGAGATACTAAGAATTATCCTGAAACAGACTGCATCAAATAAAGCCTCCATCACAATATGTCATTAGATACTTTAACCATTATTGGTTTGTAGAAAAAGAGCAATATACCTCATATTATACAGCCAAGCTTTAGTGATTACAGTCAGACCACAAAAGATGTATTGACACATTCTCTTTTGCATTACCAAAGTCAACACCAAAAAGGACTTGATGAGTCACTAAATATAATTTTTCACCTAATTAACCAAAAAATAACAGTATGAGTTAAAACAATCAATTGCCTTGAGTTGAAGCGGTCCAATTTATGCAAACTACTAATTAATGGATACAACATTGATAATACAGCAAATACACTATATGACCAGAATTATGTGCACATCTGACCATGACACTTTTATGAGCTTGTTGGACATACCATTCCAAAACCATGGGCATTAATATGGAGTTGGTCCTTGCTTTAACAGCTGGGAAATGTTCTTCACAATATTTTGTGTTTATAGGACCTTGTGTACCAGTTACAGTATATCCCTGGTAGTAGTCTATCAGTTACGGTGTATCTCTAGTAATAATCCATCAGTTACAGTGTATCTTTGCAGTACTGTATCAATTAAAGCATGTTCCTGGCAGTACTTTATCAGTTCTAGTACAAGGTCTTTGTCCCTTCACTCACCTACATCACACCACACCACATCTCTCACCCCCTATGCGGCACGGTCGATTCAGTCACCCATTCCAACTGCATCCGTTTATGCAAACAGCACCTCTGTTCACACAAACACCACTTACCAGACAGAAGAACTCTATGTGCACAAACACAACCTCTGTTCATGCAAATGCTACTCACCTATACTGCAGACAGAACACTGGTCAGATGGACTTAGGCTCCCAAACACAGCAAGGAAAGAAGTCTGTTCGTGAGAATGCTGCTGCTTCCTGTCACTTCTCACCGTGACATCCAGACAAGGTCGCCCCAGAAGGGCCCAATAATGGTAATAGCCTGAAGTTTGGATCTTGCCTTTTATCCAGCACTGAGGGTTGGAATTTACCCACAACTATTCTCCTGTTTATGTCCTATCTGTACTGCGACTTGAAGCATTATCCTGCAAGCCCCCATGCACAGTCTCACAGGCCAGGTGAGTTCTTATCTGACCACCTTGGCCTGTCTTTAATTGCAAGGGTGAGCATATCTCTGCGCTACAGACTCCCAAGCAAGGTAAGCTGTTACACTTCCATGTGCGACCACACAGAAGGAAGAACTTCAGGAGAATTAAAGGGCGCACACGCAGACACAGAGCCTTTTAAAGGTATAGGAGGTGGAGACCAGGGTGGAACCTCAATTAACAAGACCACCCACTTTCCCTATTTTAGTCGCACACACCCTTCACTCTTCACTCAGTTGTACTGTGCTCCAGATTGTGTAAAGACCTTCAGAGACTCTCCTGTTGTATCCTGATCCTGATCCTGATCCTGTTCCTGATTTTGACCCTTGCCTGTATCATCGCTTCTGAACCTATGCCACCTGTCCTGACCTTTGGTTTCCCCAACTATTCTCTATGTCTGATCCTTTGGTTCTGCAAGCCTGGTTCATTGCCTTCAGCATCTATCTATGTCTTGGGCTCCATCCACTAAACTGTGTTCCTGACATATAGTTTGTCCCTGGCAGTATTCTATCAGGTACAGTGTATCTCTGGCAGTACTCTATTAGTTACAGTGTATTCCTGGCAGTACAGTATCAGTTACAGTTTACCTCTGGCAGTACTCTGTCAGTTATACACTGTACCTCTGGCAGTACTCTGTCAGTTACAGTTTACCTCTGGCAGTGCTCTATCAGTTATACACTGTACACCGGGCAGTACTCTGTCAGTTACAGTGTACCTCTGGCAGTGCTCTATCAGTTATACACTGTACACCGGGCAGTACTCTGTCAGTTACAGTTTACCTCTGGCAGTACTCTATCAGTTATACACTGTACACCGGGCAGTACTCTGTCAGTTACAGTGTACCTCTGGCAGTACTCTGTCAGTTACAGTTTACCTCTGGCAGTACTCTATCAGTTATACACTGTACACCGGGCAGTACTCTGTCAGTTACAGTGTACCTCTGGCAGTGCTCTATCAGTTATACACTGTACCTCTGGCAGTACTCTGTCAGTTACAGTGTACCTCTGGCAGTACTCTGTCAGTTACAGTGTACCTCTGGCAGTGCTCTACCAGTTATACACTGTACCTCTGGCAGTACTCTGTCAGTTATACACTGTACCTCTGGCAGTACTCTGTCAGTTACAGTGTACCTCTGGCAGTACTCTATCAGTTATACACTGTACACCGGGCAGTACTCTGTCAGTTACAGTGTACCTCTGGCAGTGCTCTATCAGTTATAGTGTATTCCTGGCAGTGCTCTGTCAGTTACAGTGTGTAGCGGACCGCTGGTAACTCAACTAGTTGCCTCTGCTAATTCTCCTCTCAGCCAGACTGAAACCTTGTGTGATTATAACCCGTGTTTCCCCAGTATCCCCAGACATGACATAGTTCTGGGAATCATCAGGTTTATTCAGGCCAAACATATGAAATCTCTACACAGACCCCCAGCATGGGGTCTCCATCCAAAGTAATACAAACTTCTCCCAGGCGTCCCTGTGTCTGGGAGATAATTGAGTCAAAGACCAGTAACTCAATTATCTCTCAGTTACAGCGACCCGAACAGAAAAAGAGAATTCCCCAAAACACCCCCAATTTATACAGGAACTCCACATGTGTCAGATCCCCGTATTTGAGTGCCTAAGTTGTCCAAATAGTGCTCATACTCGTTCGGTGGAAGTAAATCGCCATTGGAGTAAAGTTCTAACGGGCTGATCACGAGGTTGTAGCCCAAAATCGTTCCATAGAAAAAGGGGCAGCGGTCAACTTTCAGGGGCTCCTGTGCGAACACCAATGAATGCTCCCCCTGGCCAGCTAGCTACTGCCTCAATCTTAGCTGGTGCGGATGTTTGTTTCCCTCAACCCACACGATGTCCTAGGTATTGGACCTCTGCCATTCCAATATGGCACTTACTGGGCTTTAACGTTAACCCTGCCTCTCTGATTTTATCTAGCATGGTCCCTACATGTACCAAATGATCTTCCCATGTGTTATTAAACACCGCAATGTCATCCAAGTATTCGCAATCATATTACTGGAGGCCAAATAAAAGCCGATCCACCATCCGATAAAACATTGCTAAGAAATTGGTACAGGCCGAATGGCGTGACCAATGCTGACTTGGGTATGGCGTCCGCAGCTAAATGAATTTAGCAGTACCCCTTGTACAAGTCGATTGTGGTGAGGTACAGGCCACAAGCCATTTGGTCTAATAACTCGTCAATACGGGACATGACACCTCATTGAGCCTCCGATAGTCTATGCAAAACCTAGTTGTCCCGTTGAGTTTTGGGGTGAGGACCACCAGGGAGGCCAAAGGACTTTCTGATGCTTCTATAACATAGAAACATAGAAACATAGAAACATAGAATGTGACGGCAGATAAGAACCATTCGGCCCATCTAGTCTGCCCAATTTTCTAAATACTTTCATTAGTCCCTAGTCTTATCTTATAGTTAGGATAGCCTTATGCCTATCCCACGCATGCTTAAACTCCTTTACTGTGTTAACCTCTACCACTTCAGCTGGAAGGCTATTCCATGCATCCACTACCCTCTCAGTAAAGTAATACTTTCTGATATTATTTTAAACCTTTGTCCCTCTAATTTAAGACTATGTCCTCTTGTTGTGGTAGTTTTCTTCTTTTAAATATAGTCTCCTCCTTTACTGTGTTGATTCCCTTTATATATTTAAATGTTTCTATCATATCCCCCCTGTCTCGTCTTTCCTCCAAGCTATACATGTTAAGATCCTTTAACCTTTCTTGGTAAGTTTTATCCATGAACCAGTTTAGTAGCTCTTCTCTGTACTCTCTCTAAGGTATCAATATCCTTCTGAAGATACGGTCTCCAGTACTGTGTACAATACTCCAAGTGAGATCTCACCAGTGTTCTGTACAATGGCATGAGCACTTCCCTCTTTCTACTGCTAATACCTCTCCCTATACAACCAAGCATTCTGCTTGCATTTCCTGCTGCTCTATTACATTGTCTGCTTACCTTTAAGTCATCAGAAATAATCACCCCTAAATCCCTTTCCTCATATGTTGAGGTTAGGACTCTATCAAATATTCTGTACTCTGCCCTTGGGTTTTTTACGTCCAAGATGCATTATCTTGCACTTATCCACATTAAATGTCAGTTGCCACAATTCTGACCATTTTCTAGTTTACCTAAATCATTTGCCATTTGGCTTATCCCTCCTGGAACATCAATCCTGTTACATATCTTAGTATCATCAGCAAAAAGACATACCTTACCATCAAGACCTTCTGCAATATCACTAATAAAAATATTAAAGAGAATGGGTCCAAGTACGGATCCCTGAGGTACCCCACTGGTGACAAGTCCAAGCTTCGAATATATTCCATTAACTACAACCCTCTGTTGCCTGTTACTCAGCCACTGCCTTACCCATTCAACAATATTTGAATCCAAACTTAAAGATTGCAGTTTATTGATAAGCCTTCTATGTGCAACAGTGTCAAAGGCCTTAATGAAATCTAGGTAAGCAATGTCTACTGCACCACCCTGATCTATAATTTTAGTTACCCAATCAAAAAAATCAATAAGATTTGTTTGGCATGATCTCCCTGAAGTAAACCCATGTTGTCTTTGATCTTGAAATCCATGTGTTTTTAGATGTTCATCAATCCTATCCTTTAACATGGTTTCCATCACTTTCCCCACTACTGAAGTAAGGCTTACTGGCCTATAGTTGACCGACTCCTCCCTATTACCTTTCTTGTAAATGGGCACAACATTCGCTAACTTCCAATCTTCTGGGACTACTCCTGTTAGCAATGATTGGTTAAATAAATCTGTTAATGGTTTTGCTAGTACACCACTAAGCTCTTTTAATAGCTTTGGGTGTATTCCATCAGGTCCCATTGACTTATTTGTCTTTACTTTTGACGGTTGAAATAGAACCTCTTCCTCTGTAAACTCACGTGTAATAAATGACTCATTTATCCTTTTTCTCAACTGAGGTCCCTTTCCTTCATTTTCTTCTGTAAATACAGAACAAAAATATTCATTGAGGCAGTCAGCCTGACCTTTATCCTCTTCTACATACCTTCCTTCTTTTGTTTTAATCTAACTAATCCTTGTTTTACTTTTCTTTTCTCATTTATGTATCTAAAAAATGTTTTATCCCCCCTTTTTTACTGACTGTGCTATTTTCTCTTCTGTGTGTGATTTGGAAGCTCTTATAACTTGCTTAGCCTCTTTCTGCCTAATCTTATAGATCATTTTGTCTCCCTCACTCTGGGTTTTTTTATAATTCCTAAATGCTAACTTTTTTGTTTTTAACTATTTTGGCCACATCTGCGGAGTACCACAGTGGTTTCTTGAATTTTTTGCTTTTACTGACAAGCCTAATGCAATTTTCTGTTGCCTTCAATAGTGCAACTTTAAATAATCCCATTTCTCTTGGACTCCATTTAAATTGCTCCAGTCTGATAATGACTCCTCTACCCATATTCTAATTTTAGAAAAGTCTGTTTTTCTAAAGTCTAAAACTTTGGTTTTTGTGTGGTGTGACTCAGTCACTGTTCTTATATTAAACCACACTGACTGATGATCACCGGATCCTAAACTTTCACCTACAGTAATATCTGATACCAAATCTCCATTTGTTAACACTAAATCTAGTATGGCCTCTTTACGAGTTGGCTCCTCAACAACTTGCTTTAGAGACAACTCCAGTAGGGAGTTTAGAATATGTGTGCTCCTGGCACAAGTAGCTAATTTTGTTTTCCAATTTACATCAGGAAGATTAAAGTCACCCATGATGATAACTTCCCCCTTCACCTCTAAGCAGAGCATCTCCTGGATCTCCTGTCTCATATATTCCCGAATGGCCTCTGGTAATCTGTAGGGGGTTTGTCAGAGAGGTAGTTGTTCAGGTGTTTCTACTCTGTGTGTGGCTAAGGTGGTGTACACCTGCACATTGGAAAAGGTATCTCTTTTCATGGCGAACAACTGCTGAGCTTGCCTACCCTTTTCACTGTTTAACCTGTCCCCAAGATGGATTTATTCAATGGACCCTGCCTGAACCCATCCTCTAGATCAGGCAGGGGAAGATTATCAAAATCTTCTGAGGCGGGAGCGCAGGTAGTCACTACATCCTCTGTCTTCTCGTGGTAGGGCTTGAGCATGTCAACATGTAACATGCGTTGAGTCCCTTACCCTAAGCTGCCCCGCTTTCATGGTAGGCCGGCGGTAGATTGCTCCCCCTGCTACCTGGTCAGCTACGGTACCACTAGTGTTTTCGGCCTTGCTGACTAGTTGATCAGGGTTAGAGAAGCCCTAGTGTCCCGGAGACTGCCGATGGTGACTCCTGTTATCTGCTGCTGCTTGCACTGGGTCCGCTTCATGTAAGATGTCCCAAGCTTCCTCAGTGACTGGTTAATTGGAAGTGGAAGGAGGGAAGTCTGTGAGGTAGCAATGGGCAGGAGCCCTTGCTGCTGGTGGAGGTCCGGGATGGACCCACTGAGATTGGTCTCTCTGTTAAGTGCAGTCTCTCTACTTATATGTCCGTACTGGAAACATTGATGGCACCAATAACAGCCGGGTTCGACACTCTCAGGGGTGCCAATGGTGTCGGGTTGCTGCTTCATTGTTGGGGATGAGGAGTGGGAGAATACAGCGGGGTGGTGTGAAGGGGTAGTCGATAACTGGTGCCTGTTGAGTGGCTTCAGTTAGGGTTAGGGGTTGTCTGTTCTGTACCCATTCTTGTAATTCCGCTGAGAGTCCATTGTAAAATTGTTAGAGTAAGACAACTTGTAACATCTCCTCCGGGGTCTTGGCTTGGTAAGCTTACATCAAGTTGAGGACTGCCCTGGTTAAATGGCAGGCCCATTAGGTATGCAAATTTTTTTCTCCCTTTTTTGATTTGCGGAATTTTCTACGATATGCCTCGGGAGTAATGGCATACCTAGCCAGCAATACTTGTATTACCCAGGCATTGTTGCGAAGTTCAGCATCCAGAACTGCTTGATATGCGTCTTCTGCTCTGCCGGTCAGTCTCCCGGCCAAAAGGGGTACCCAATCGCCAGGAGCAACATCATGTAGGTGGCATAGCCATTTGAAATCCTGCAGAAATTCATCTATGTCCTCTTTGGATTCCACAAACGTCTTGAACGCACTATAGACTTCGGCTCGATTGTTGGGGAGATGGCGGTGGGTACTTCTAGCGACTACTATTCAGACATCTGTAACTCTTTCTCTTGGTCTGCCTTCACCATGATGTACGCCTGAACTTCTGACATAGTGTGGGCCAATGTTTTTTCTGCGGGGTCGCTTCCATAGAAGGCCAAGCGGGTCCTAATTTCGTGTTGGAATTCGGTTTCTTCTGCCGCATGTAGCAATGAAGCACTGCTGGGTCTGTTCCCCTCCATGAGTACGGCAATTAGGGCTGCCTTGGACCTGTTACTGGTGACTTGTCCTCGGGCTTCCAGCAACTCTTTGAGGGTCTTTTGTTTCAGCATAGCGTAATTCATCCACAATTTCTGTTCCGATCATACCTGGTGAATGCTGGTTCCTTTCGGCTGGGAGGTACCATCCCACCACTGCTACTAGATGTAGCGGACCCCGGGTAACTTGACTACTTACCTCCGCTAATTCTCCTCTCAGCCAGACTGGAACCATGTGTGATTATAGCCTGTGTTCCTCCAGTAACTAGACGAGACATAGTTTTAGGAGTCATCTGGTTTATTCAGGCCAAACATATGAAATTTCTACCCCGAGCATGGTGTCTCCATTCAAAGTAATATAAACGTCTCCCTGGCGTCCCTGTGTCTGGGGGATAAGTAAGTCAAAGACCAGTAACTTATTAACTCTCCGTTACAGGGACACGAACAGAAAATACTGAAAATCACAAAAAACACTCCCAATTTATACATGAACCCCACATGTGTCATATCCCCGTATAGCCCGTATCTAAGCGCCCAAGTTGTCCAAATAGCACTCAGATCCATTCAGTGGAAGAAAATTGCCATCAGGGTAAAGTTCTGACCGTCTGACCATGAGGTTGTAGCCCAAAATCATTCCATAGAAATAGGAGCAGCGGCCGGTCATCTTTCAGGAGTTTCTGTTTGAACACCAACTAATGCTCTCCTTGGCTTTTAGGGAGAAAATGCTCCCCCTAGTTAGTGGTGTATTTCTCCCGAAGAGCACTCTCCTATCTTGTCCTATCTTGGGACCGGAGCAGGCAACGAAATACAGTTGCAATAAAAAGTATGTGAACCCTTTGTAATGATATGGAATTCTGCACAAATTGGTCATAAAATTTGATCCGATCATCATCTAAGTCACAACAATAGACAATCACAGTCTGCTTAAACTAATAACACACAAAGAATGAAATGTTGCCATGTTTTTATTGAACACACCATGTAAACATTCACAGTGCAGGTGGAAAAAGTATGTGAACCCCTAGACTAATGACATCTCCAAGAGCTAATTGGAGTGAGATGTCAGCCAACTGGAGTCCAATCAATGAGATGAGATTGGAGGTGTTGGTTACAGCTGCCCTGCCCTATAAAAAACACACACCAGTTCTGGGTTTGCTTTTCACAAGAAGCATTACCTGATGTGAATGATGCCTCGCACAAAAGAGCTCGGTATTCAGTTTGTATGAAAGAGGAAGAGGAATTCATGTTCTGGAGCCAAACCAGGGTGATTCGGGCAAGATAACTCCCGAACTGAAAAAAGTTTATAACACTCAGATACTTTGTCCCAAGGATAATGATACATTCCGCCGCACAGTGTATCCCTGGCAGTGCAGTTATACACTGTACCCCTGGTAGTACCTGATCAGTTACAGTGTATCCCTGGCAGTGCTCTACCGGTTACAATGTATCCCTGGCAGTACCTGATCAGTTACAGTGTATCCCTGGTAGTACTCTGTCAGTTACAGTGTAACCCTGGCAGGACCTGATCTGTTACAGTGTATCCCTGGCAGTACTCTATCAGTTATACACTGTAACCCTG